TCTCCGTTCTCTATTGAAACACCTCGCTCAGGCTAGCGCACTAAGAGCTCGCATTTCCCCCCTTGCTCGGAATGGTGCGACAGGAGGTTGCAGCCCTGCTCCTCTTCCAATGGGTGAGTTTAAAACGCTATTCGTATTTATACTCTCACAGCCTCCAAATCCTACATCTTGGCCTTCTTCTAAAAATCTGATTTCTATGATTTTTGCATGTGGCATGCTAGCCCAGGGGGAAAGAGATGCCTCCTGTTTTCTTTACAGTCATTGTGCTAGCTGTAAATGAAAGCTTTGAAGAGACACTTAACCCTTATTGTAAACCATGGTTTTAAAACATGGGAATTTCTGAGTCTATTCATGTTATTTTCCATTTTAGTAAACAATTTTGCCCAAAGCTTCAAAGAGTTTTCTCTGATATACTCGCGATTGTATGTTCAGGTATGTATATGAGCTCGCAGACACTGCGTATGTGTGTATGTATGTATTACCTTTAAGCGAAATCTAAGTCTTGTGAACTAGGGAAGCTTAGAAAGTGAGGGAATACCTTGCCACCTGTTTGTTGCCTTTTAGTCATGAAGCTCCAACAGAAATTGCCTGTCATTCTTATTTTGCTTTGTTTTGTCTCAAGAAAGAACAATTTGTTGCGCTCCTCTCAATCCCTGAGACCCTAACTTGTGATGTTTACCGTTTAAATCCACGGGTTAGGCTCTTGGGAGCTGCGAGTAGTGCTTTAACATCCTGGAAATTTGGTGGAACTTTTATTGTAAAGCAAAAACAAAAGAAATGAAAGTTTGTCTGAAGTGATTAAGTGCATCTCTGAGGTTTTCATTGTTAGGTGGGGTCAGGTGACCAGAAAGTGGCAGCTCTTAGATTTCTGTTCAAGTAGGTATATATTCTGTTGTAATAGCTTGTTGGCTATTATGTGTATGCATGTATATTATTGATGCTTGAGGCTCATCTACCGTGGTCTGTTCCTTGAGAGCAACACGCAGTGCTATCCGAGCATAACAAGAACAGCTCAGAACCTGGTGCTTGACCTCAGAACATATCAGCTGAAGTCCCAGCATGCCCCATGCCTACAACTTTTAAACTCAACAGTTAATCTTAAAATTGTGCCCAATTAAAATGGGCATGTGGACATATTATATATTCAGTGCCCACACATGTGTATCATTTATGGCTAGACAGTGAACACACGGACACAGATGGGGTGAAGCAATAGTTTGGGCTAAAATATCGATAGGCTAAAAATTCTGCACTTGCTATTCTACATAAAGGATGAAATTGATGGTGTTACTACAGACTAAATTTGCATTTCTTTGCAAAATCTTATAAAATAAAATAAAAAAAGAAAGATAGACTCCTTGCTTAGCATCTGTTTTAAAATGCTATACATGATGAGTTTAAAAGTAATAGGAATTGGAAATATAATATAATATAATATTATATATTAGCCCTTTCACAATTATTGTATCCTTTAGGAGTTATCTATGGCTATTATTCTTTATTTAAAAATTGGAAAAACATTTACCAGGGCTTAAAAATCATTCCAATGTAGCTATTTATAACACCAAACTATATATTTAAAATTATTTTTTCTTAAGGTAATTATTAGCATTGCCTAGTTTGTAGTTTTCTGAAATTTTAACTTTATGTAACAGAATAATTTCAGTGATTTAGATGATCTATCTCACTCATAGTTAGAGAAAAGAAACAGTAACTTACCTTTCCTTTGTTGTGAAAAATTCCAATATACAATTTCATTTAAATGATTTTAGTATTCTTGGTCCAACATTTGTCTTCNTTCCTTGGCATCCAGCCATGCTACTGCAGGTTTCACAGCAGAGACAAAGCACAATGTCTGAGTTGAGCACAAAGAATCTACCTTTTAAAAACATTGACTTGGAGGAAACCTGCATCCTCAGATACCTCCCTCCCTTCCTCTCTATGTACAGAATCCAGCATTATACTTAATACAGCACTGCCTGTTGTCTGCATGATTCTAGTCAGGGAAATTGGGTTAATGTGGCAAAATACCCACTGTGTGTATAGATAGGTAGAGACCCTAGTTTTCAGGCAATACCTATTTTACAGGATCATTGTGTAGCCAAGCAATTAAAATACATGCAAACAGAACTAATAGAATACGCTCTCTTAGTCAACTCAGGATGTATTTCATTTTTTCTTATGCAACTTTTTGTCATCTGAATCAAGGGACTTTAGGCTAATCAATGAAGTGTGTATCTATCTGATGGACATCTGAGGCAAAATGCTTCAGGAATAAGGAAAATATCTGCAGTAGAAGCAAAGGGTTAGTTTGGGCTATAGTGACTGAGGAGTTTATTTCAAAATCCAAGGGAATGTAAGTGGTAAATTAATACATATGGCAAATATAGTCAACACGCAAAACCCAGCCACTGAAAGGAAAAAGAATTTTAGCACTGTAGTCATCACATGCCTGAATAGAGTATCTGCATGTTTAAAATACAGATTGAACCACTGCTCTTTTATCCCTCTAAATGCCAATTCCGAAGAAATATCTGGGCATTGTTGATTTTCTGTCCATAAAGAAACCGATCAGGATTCACGAAATACATCACCTGCACTCATATGTGCATATGTGTGTTTTAAATACCATGCGATGGAGAACAATTAGGCAGAGAACTGCACTGTGGTCTCTCTTCTTCACTCCTTTCCCCTTTTTTATCCTTTTAGAAAATGTGATACCTGATCTCTGTGTCTAGCAGGCTGAGGGATTTTGTATTTGTATAATACAACGTCCGGCCTTCCCCCTGACCTGCTGGTGTATTTTTGGTCTCATTAGTAGTCAGGGAGATGCCTCAGTGCATCCGATGCTGCGAGTCAGGGATGAGACACTCTACAACAGGGAGAGGGAGCAAGCAAGGGAGGGTATTAGTAGAAAGGCTTGTCTCCAAGATATGGAGGGAAGTGAGAAATGACAGGACTGCAGGCTTTGTATGTAGAATCCTGGCAGGGAGGGAGCGCATGCAGGGAGCCAAGTGGCTTCTCAGAAAAGGGGGGAGGGCATAGAGGAGCTAAAGGTGGTTAGAGGGGGATATTGATTCCTTATTCTGCCAGCGATTTAAGCAGGCATGCGAGGAATCTGCACCATGGTTGGCAAAGGAGACCCATTGCCTCCTGTAACCAGACACTCAGGCTTTCCAGGAGCCTAGAGAGAGAGCTGAGAAGAAAGGGGGCAGTGTGGTCTAGGAAAATGCAACTTGTCGCTGATTTGTGCCTGATGCTTGCTGTCCGTCAGCAGCCTCCCTTACAATCTTTTTTCTCCCCCCCCCCTTTTTTTTTCTTGCCTTCTCCTTCTTCACTGAAGCCTAGGGAGCCAGCAAAGATTAAATGTGCTTTCTCAAAGGCAGCCACTTCATGCTGCTATGTCGAAAGGGCCATTATTATTATTTTTTTAATAGTAAAAGAATAAGGGGGAGAGAGAGAGGGGAAGGGAGAG